TCAGGTCAGTCCACCTGTGTCATGTGGATTCCCATTTCAGTCTCTCACAACAATACCCTTTCCTCCACCCGTCACTCCACTGAGATTCCGACTCTTCTTCCGAGACCGTCTCCTCGATGATGCTCACTTCAGCTGTCAACGCCTCTGGGTTTCGGTCCTGTGGGTCTTCCTGGGCGCGCATGGGGCCAGGCCGAGAGTTGTTGAAGTGCACTGCCAGTCCATACTGGAAGGCAGGACCAAAGAGCCCAAGTCCTCTTCGAGCCCTCCCTTTGGACCCTTTGCAAACCTCCAACACCATCCAACACCATGACCCCCCATGATGCCCCTCAAAACCCCACCCCCCATGACCAGACGTCCAGAAAAAAAGGAATGGGGGCATCTCCACCCCGGTCCCTCAACCTCGCCTCCAGTTCGGTCAGCTGAATCTCCTCCGCTTCATCGGCCGTCGCCGCATCCGGCGAGGCATCCGGCGCGTCGCCCGGCACCGGCCCGTCGTCGTCCTCGTTCTCGTCCGCCACGGCATCCGTGGGGCGTGGGGCGGCCTGAGGCGCGCGCCCACTTAAATGGGCGGCCAGGTGGGTGGAGACGGAAGAGTACCGAAAAACTGAAAAGGAAATGGCACGGAAACCGGTTGGAATAGAGTTGGTTGACGGAGAAAACTCATAAGGATGAAGGCTTTGCTGGGTCAATTCACTTCTGTTAAGCAATGGGATCCACTCACAACATCTCACAACACACGATTTGATCAAAACGAGCAGAGCTATACAGGTTCCATTACAGCGATCCCCACCCCCCCTTTCCCCTTTGCTTTCCACGCTCAGCGCCCTCCCTGCCCAGCCCGGCCCGGCCCTGCCTCCGTGGCATTGGGCCGCGCCGCTGACGGCGCCGCGGCCGCAACGGGCGCGGCGGCGGGCGGCGGCGCCGCGGCCTCGGGCACCTCGGCGTCCTCGGGCTCCACGTCGTCCCCAGCCCCAGGCTTCTCCTCACTGGGCTCGGGCTCCGGCCAGTCGGCCTCCGCGGGCGCCAGAGCCCGGCGCGAGCGCGGGCTCTGGCCGGTCGGTCGAGCCGGGTGGGGGGGGGGAAGAGGTCGAAAAGGCTTGGCGCTGAAAGTGAGCGCCAAAGAAGGAACAGGTTCAAATGTTCACATAATTGTCTGTTTCTGAAGCTGAGAGTTGGAGATCGTGCCATGTGTTGGTCCACCGTCTTCTTGAAGTGGGTTGCTTTTCCATGTCGACGAAGCGGGCAGGAAACCCAAGAGTTGGTCCGTACTCTTGCCGACCACCCCAGCAATCATCAAGGAGCATCAAGGATTGACATGGGTTCTAGTCTCTCATCATATAGAGTTCTTCTCCTCCACCCTGCGTAGCCATGCGGCGCCTCCCATGGATGACACCTGCAAGAAAGACAGACAGGGCCCGCCTCACCCATGAGTGGCTCAGGCCGGGGGTGCGTCTCCTGGCACGGCCGAGCAAAAAAGAAACGACACGTGCGCACCTCTCTCTGTGCAGTTGTCCAGATCAAATCAATGTCAACAGGATCATTTTCCGGATTCAAGGACTAGTCCGATCAAACCTGATTTTTCCACCTCGGCGGACAAAAGGCAGGGAACATCGGGTAACTAGTTGACCAAAAGCTTTGTCGGCTTTGTCCGGCACAAGAAGCGTTGAAAACGGGCTCCCCTCAGAAACAGGAGAGATCCTGAGGTTAGGGGTGGAGCTCAGTAGTCTCGTAGTCCCAACGAAAAAAACTGAAGGGGCTGATGAGGAGGACTTTAAGGAGTTTCTCAGGCTAACCTTCTTCGCCGACCATCGCCTTTCGCTCCCACCGGGCGAACACGGGCTCCTCCACCGGCGGCGCATCCCGTTCATCCTCGGGCGCGGAGGCCACATCCTCCGACCTCGGTGGGTGGCGCAGAAGGCCTGATGAGGCCTGATGAGGCCTGTCGAAGACTGGTGACACCCTCCTTTCTTGGAGCACAGTCACTGGCACATTTCAGGAAGGGAGCACAACATCCACGGTGAGACATTCTGAAAAAGGAAATATGTATATATATATATATTACCTAGAACCCTTGCAAGTCCTTGAGGTAAGTGGCTCCAGCAGGCTCCAGCCTGTTAACACTGTCGGACCGCCGAAGTTCGAAGAGTTCCCCCGCACACAGGTCCGGACGGGTGTAGGAACCGTGGCCACACGTTCCCTCCCTCAGGTGCCATATGTTTTGCTCTCCCTTGTTCGAACGGACAACAGCTGACGGCAGGAGCTCGCGGACTCAGTGCTTCCGTCCAAGACGCTGTTCTTTCCCGATGCACTTGTTACTAGTAGTAAGGCACTAGTTTCTACTAGCTTCTTGTTACTACTAGTAAGGCACTTGTTACTACTAGCGTGGCACTTGTTACTAATAGCTTCGTGTTACTACTAGTAAGGCACTTGTTACTAGAAGCGATGCACTTGTTACTACCCTGGAAAAAATAAGAGTCCCATGAGCATCCCTCTCTCCTTCCGTTCAGCGGCTCATCGAACTCCGTCTCCTCGATCATGGCCGCTCGCTCGTTGGGGGGCGGAGCCATCTGCTGAGCTTCCTCGTTGACGGCCGACGGAAATGGGCCATCCAAAGGGTGGAGGGGCCATAGGGCTTGGGAGGGACTTGCTCTTCCGAAACTTGCTGGCGGAACGCGGTTTTTGAGAGGAAGAACATGTGGAGGATCCACCTCACTTCCCTACCCTGGGACGAGGTCATGATCAAGCTGCTCTTATACTTTGCTGAGTTCTACCAAGTCAATTGTCAACGCCCTTCAGAGACTCGTCTTTTCGGCTCTACAGTACCTCCTGGCCTTGGCGCATCCACACGACTTTGGAACACGCCGAAGCTTCGTGCGACCCCGCGTGGTCAACTGCTCTCCGTAGAACATCGGTCTCTCGACGCCACCGAGGGGCCATCTCGGTCTCTCCCTCCGCCGTCACCAACAAGCTCTTCTGCGCGAGATCTGCGCGGTCCGGGGCTCGGGCGGGGCGAACAAGGACAGGCATGGACATGGAGCTTCCGGTCGTTGGGCGGGCTTGTAGTTAAGCGATCTAAACGGTTCTAAACCCTTCTCTTCTCTGGGGTGCCTGCGAATTTCCGCGAGTGGTGCGCGGAAAGAATGGTGCTGTTATGAATCAGGAGGGAGGGGATCCCTCCTACGATCAAGATCGCCCTGACTGGAACTCCCAACCAAATTTGTGATGTAAATCAGTAAGAACCACGCAAAAAACCGTCCAACTCGCAACAGGCACCCCTTGCATGTACAAAAACCTTGAAACCCACCGCCGCCCCAAACGGCGGCGGCTTCGGTCCCGGCCGGACCGGTCCGCTTGAGGCGCACCGGACCGAGGGTGGCCCTTTCCTTCTCGCCGCACCACGGGCCGCTCCTGCGGAGGCGGAGAGGCGGAGAGGACGCCCCAACTCCGTGAGAGGACAAAGAGAGAAGCAAATCGCAGCAAGGTCCCCAACTCGAATCCCAATCCTTAGGTGCCTTAGGTCCTTGAAAGGCTCAATGTCAAACTAATGATTCTGAGAAAAGAAAAGGACCAACTCTCGGAAGCATTCCAAAGACCAGCGACACATGACATGTTCGCCCACGACCCACCACACCCCTTCTCGCTGTCCTTCATCCTCTCCTGCCATGCGGAGCAAAGCACCCAGAGCAGCGCCCTGCCAATCGCTCGGTCAGCAGGCCCCGTTGGTGGCCACGCATGGCAGAAAGAACTTCGGTCGCCACTGCAAGCGTTTTTCAAAGAAGAAACATGTGCCGCTCATGTGCCAGGCTTTGTGACTTTCAAGGGGCCAATGAATGAGTTGAGCGAAAGGCAAAAAGCCAAGTAGAGTCTTGGCTTGGAAAAACTCGGAGTCCATTAAAATGTCTCACCCGTCTATAGAACAAGCGCCCCCCTTCTCACTGCCAAGTGTCAATCTCAGGATCATCATGGAACAGCGAAACCTCGATTCTCCCCACTTCGGCTCTTCGCTGGGTGGACTCAACATTCGCACATCTGCACCGACGCCCTCTAAAACCAATGGAAACTGCAAACATACCAAGGAAACATGTCCAGAATCTGGTATGCCAAGTTTCAACAAGTATTTTCATAGTCAAAGTTCGGACGTGGCATGCGCAAAAAAAGTCTTACTGCCATGACAACATAGAACGTTACTAAAGCAGCGCCCGAAGAATTCAAAGGATGTGGACATGGACAATCAACACTCTCCCCCTCCAGTGTCTTCTTCTCGTCGTCCAGCAGTCTGGACCAATCTACAGGCATGCTTTGGCTGAATGCGACAGAAGCAAACAAGTTCCAAGAAGCACATGCCCTTGAGCATCTGTGTGATCTCTATGTGTGTATATATAAATATAATGACAATGATATACACAAATCCATCAAATAGCTTCATATTGCAAGGACCCTGCGAGTTAAACAATCATCACAGAGTTTCTCTTTATTTGCTTGTTCCATGAACCGGCTCGCGCGATCGCTGAGCGGTGTTTCGACCAAGCAGCTAAGTTTGAGGAATGAACGATCAAACCTGCGCGATTTTGAGGTCTCCGGTGGATCGGTGCACACCGGTTTCGGTTGGAGCAAAGTCTTTCCCAAACGATCCCGATCCCTGAAGCTGGAAGACCACTGGAAGACCAGTTTCCTCTAGAATTGATTGCTTTTGAGAGTCCATGTGGTCCTCAGGAGTGCTTGTCCGTTTCGTGTCTTCAACAGGAGCGAAAAGTTGGGCCTACAAGACTTCAAAAGGTCTTCACAGTCTATGGGTTATCCTGGAAGACGGTGGAATATGGACGGTTGGAGTGCCGGACGAATCGCCGGAAGACTCCCCGAAAAGGCTGCCCTGGCTGCCCATCTCAGGCTGCTGCAACACAGAGATAGGATGAGGCACTTCCTTGGTGAGGCGAGGAAGTAAGAAGGGCATCAAAAACTCGCATGTGGGTCATGCATGCGGATTGCTTCGAAGAGGTCAAGGTGCGTTGTCGCTTAGGTCGGGGGAGCAACCTACAAGTACAGTATAGTGAGCTGCCAGCACTTAGAATATGAACCTAAATGTTTTTCCGTTATGGTCATAGATTCTTGGACCACGATGCAAGCACGATATTCTATCTGTGGGTCCAGATAGAATACACCAACTCCAACAGATAGAATTTGTGGCATGTATGTTCATGGTTTGAGGTGCGTACATTCTATGTGCATCACTTGTCTGGAAAGGTATCACAAATCCGTGCAGCAAGGCTCCCTCTGCAATGTTTCCAGCAGCAATCTTATCACGAGCTCAACAGATTTTGCATGTGTTATCTTTTCTGCAGCAAACGTCTCACCCATGAGTTAAAAATACACCCATAGGCAAGTTATCACAAATTCTATGTGCACCGATCGATATGGAAGGTGTGATGAAAAATAAGCCACATTGGCCACATTGTAGTGTCTTTGACCAAACCTTTGGTATACAGAATGCATGTATAATCATATATACAAAGGCCTTAACTGTATGACTTGCCCCGCTGCCATGTCGGGATGGTATCAAAACTACACTATCTCCAATGCCATTGATGCCTATGATGCTCTTGGTGTGCTGCCAGGGCCTGATTCAGCGCACACACCTTTACAAAGGATCGTGGCTTTATCTTTGGTACCCAATTCAATAATCAAGGAGTGCTATGAGCACACCATGGAGTCCATTGGGCAAACATCTCCAGAAGCACATTTGGTAGATTCAGCATACGCTTCGTTGCAGGGGGACGCACGAGGATTGTATGACATGAAACTGGTGAAGGCTGCTTCTGAGGCTCGGTGTGTACCCTATATTGAAAACTTAAATATAAATATATATATATATATATTCTATCTGCAACCCTGAAGGTGTTTGTAGCAATGGATCTCTCTTTTGATTGGGAACAAAACCCACTTGGTGTACTATAATATTCTATTCAAGATTAAGGTTGAATTTGGGAATCCCTGTAGGCTATGGCTGCTCAGGGTCCACAAACCATTGCGCGCAAACGGGTATCCTTGCAAAAGGAACAGGAACTACCGCCAATGCCAGCTCCAGCAGAACCACCGTCTGACGCTGAACTGGATGATGCCAGTGATCCAGACGACAAAAAGGCTTGGGGTTGGGTCCAGGCTCAGTTGCTATGGAAATTAAAAAACATGAAAAAGCACATGCATATATATATATATGTAAGTATGTTGGTATGCATCCATCTATGAATAATACTCACCCTCAAAGGTCTATAGCATTCCAAACTAGTGCGGAATGATTTAAGTAGCTTGGGAGGAGAAACCTATTGTCACCAAGAATATGACTCTATTTCAGAAGCATGTGCGGTTCCAGAATGGTGATCCTGGCTGCAAGAGAAATTTCACATTTGGTCTCTATGGCGACAAAGACATGGCTGTGATGGCAGCAACTTTCTTTGAATCGAACGTGAAATCCATTTTGTCAGCCTTTGATCTTGCTTCCCGCAAGCCACTGGAACGGCGGGAGATTCTAAGTACACACGGAGTGGAGGAGTCCTTTGTCAGGAAGTCTATTGCAAAGCAACGTGAGGAACTAGTGCATATTCTTTGTGCAGGCAGGTCCAAGGCGGTGGAGGACAACATCATAAACAGCATGTGCAAAGCTATTCACGATGAACACCTCTTGGGCAAGGCATCAGTGCATCATTCCACCAGTGGCTTCACAGCAACTTTTGCAGGCACCCAGCAGAAATTGGAGCAAACGTTCAAGTCACTGAAAGCTGCTTCAAACTGGATCGTCCAAATGGAGAAAGCAGACAAGGACACTGTTTGAATGACATAAATAGGTCCGTTCCAATCTTGTTTGATGTACGGTTTTGATTAGAACCAAATTAAAAACATATTCATATGAATGCAGTTAGAATATGAACTCATGCAGTCATTGGGCGCAGGATGGTGCTCTTGCGCAATCATTGAAACACGCTGCAGCAAAGGGCAAGGAAGCAGTGAAAATAAAGGATGCTCTCAGCACTCTGGCTTCTTCATCCAAAGAAAACATCGAGGACATTGCAAAACAACTTGCCGATGGGAATGACATCAAGACCATGGAAACCAATGATGTTACTGCAGAATATCTTGAACCTCGAAAGGTTGCAGGACCTCATGCCTTGTCATGCAACTACTTTGTTTATCGTGGTACGGTCCAAGCACTTGCTGGCCAAAAGGTTCAGGCAGGTCAAAAGCAATTTGGTATCATGGCAGGATGCAGTGACTGCGTGCTTGATGTGTGCTTGGCTGCAGATGTAGAGTCAGCACTGCTATCACAGGAGCTGATTGACAGGTGGAACAAGTGCGAGTACACGGTCATGGGTTTGGTGGCATGGGATCATGATCAGGATTCAAATCCACGCAACCACACCGAGTCCATGGCTTTGCTGATGTCAAAGCAGGCAGAGAGCAAACCATTGCTTCTACTCATCTTTGGGCCAGACTGTCAACCACAGTGTTGGGAGTTCAACGGAGAGTATTCTTCTGGAGACTTCGTTCAGGTTGAACTGAACAACAAAAGAAAAAATCGGAGAAAAGACACAGACTTCAAGATCTTTTCCATTGATCAGGTTGGAGTGACCTTTGAAGACCAAGCAAAACATCTGGTCTACAAAGCAGTTTGTCAGCAACTTGATAGAGGATTGACACAAAGTCAGAGCAAGACAGGAAAGGAGAACAAGATCTATTTCCAGAAGGTTGCTGCTCCGCCCGATGGGTATTGCTTCTGGCATTCAGTTTTGGCAGCACTCAATCCTCAGAAGTTTTGTGCAGTGAAGCGGTATATGAATGGCTTTGCGGTCAACTCTCGTCAAGAGAAATCAGAAGCAAAAGCTGCACAAATGCTGTGTAAAACAGCTGCTGGATCTCACAATGCTGATATGCTCTTTGAAAATGGGTATGTGGAACCTCAACAAATCTCTGGCATTGGTGACAAGCTCAACTTAGCTATCCGTTGCACGATTGCGGAGGAGGCGTGATCAGTATTCATATTCTAACTGCATTTAGACATACAACGCAAAGAGGTGACACACACAACTGCAGTTGAGGCATTAGTATATAGATATGTTTGTGTATGTGGAATCTTGACCAACTAATACAATATCTCTGTTTGGGTGGGATCTATAATATATATATATGTATATATATATATACAGTATATATGTATATGCACATTCATAGCCTTTCTGTTCAACCCTTCAGGCCTACAGATTTGTGCAAGATGCTGAATTGATGGGGCCATCCTTTCCTATAGATGCAGTGTATGGTAAACCTCGAATGCCTGATGTCCACGTGTTTTTTCAGTGGCTGACAGCTGCAGATGGCAAGAAATTTGGCCACTATGACATACTCATGCCTGCGAAGGGAGGTAATGTGGACCGCTGCCTTCTACTACCAACAGTTGTGAGCCACTTTAGCTCGGAGGAGTCCACGCAGAAGTCAGCCCAGGAGGCAATGGTATCAGTTTTTTTTGATCCTTCTACCTACCAGGGCAGGATCCACCAGCCTCCTGAATTGTCCGGCAAACTTGATCCAGCAGATCCAGCAGAGTCCTTCATGCACCCGACACATGCCAAGCCAGAACATCTACAGAACTTGTTTGACAGTTCCAGATATGAAGGCAAGCTGTGGCACTTTCCTCCGCTGCTCAAAACAATCAAGCCGCAGGAGCTGACGAGAGAGAGGTTCTGTGAGTTCTTCAAAATCACAGTCCCTGAGTCGGCAGCGCAAGCAAGACACACAGAAACAGAAGACACAGCAAGCAAGGCAGGGGAGGATACAGCAATGCAGATAGAATGTGCACCATCTCAGGCGCCTCAAGCTGAAGCAGATCAACAGGAAGCAGCAAAGCAAGCAGCAGAAGAAGCAGAAACAATCCAGCCAGATGCCAAGCCTTTGGAAGAGCTCACCGCTCAACCT